TCCGTACAAAAGCATTGTGCTTTCATTGGTCATGTGCAGACAATTTCCAATGCATTGACAATGAAGAGTAGAGCTATCTGCAGCGAAGACTTCGTGGTATTTTGACATCAGATAGATTTACATTTCTTCCATTGCCTGAACGGTCATCAATATAGCTTCAAGTGATTAAGTCACTAGTCAACCGACGTTTAAACAGGAATCAATTTTGTGAAGTTTCTAGCTGTATTAATAATATGTATCTCAAAACTTGTGACATCATCCATCCATTCTATTGATGGAATGAGACGTTTCATTTCTGCACCATTGCAAAAATGCAATAATACTCGTATAATCTTTTTAAAGTTTTACATTTTCTATTAGACTCGTCAGCCAAGCAAAGCTGGTAGTATTGTAAAACCTTGTGAATTGAAATCCTAAAATGTTCAGAAAATTTAGGGTGACATGTAAGTTCTTTGATTGTTAATGAATGCAGTTTGGAAGGGTTTTATCTGATAACAGGAGCAAATAAGAAATCGTCTAAATCTACAATTACTAAAGCAGATAAAGTGTTTATCCTTTTATCAGACAAAGCATGTTCTCCACTTGATGCTTGCGATGACCATCATGGTAAATCCACGTTCCATCACAACGCACATCTTGTCGGTAAACAATAGAGCTTGAACCTGATTTCAGTTGTACTCTAAATGAAGTGAACTTAGAAAGGAGATTCTCTAAAAAGAGTATCATTAAAACAAACACCATATCAGATCCTGGACATTCAATTACTGAATATTCGCAGTTGGTTGAGTCGGTCACAGTATTGATTAGCGGCTCTAAGCAAGTGTAATTTGGCGGACAAAGTCCTTTCGGGATGCGTTCGATTGATGAGCAGATTTTGCATGGAGACTTGTGAGTTTTCGCAGCGTCTCCTAAATTTAGCAGAATTGAATATTTGTAAATATAAGTTGCGCTTGCTATTTCTTTTATGTAGCGCGTATTATTATTGGTGTATAAATTTAGCTTTGAGTGCGTTATTTTAGGAGTATTATCCTGTTTTGAATGTTTTAACACAAGCAAAACTTATACTGTAAGAGACTATCTTTTTTTCCTTTTTAAAGCCGAAACACGAAACTCGAGATGAAAAAGAACATTTAACTAAACAGCATACTTCCGTATTTTCACATTTTTGATTGTTTTTTAGTCTTGCTATTTGAGTTTCTTTCCTCTATAGTCGTTTTGAATTATATTTTAGCACCTTTTTGACGACAACTTCTTAGAATTAGTAGGTAATCAAGATGGCCTTAACATCCTTGGCAAGGCTGCAGCTCAACGAAACGACATTGGTACAGGTTCTCAGCCATAGCAATTAGTGAAATTTCAAGGAAGGACGTAAAGAAAGAGGTGTGTGGGATTAGCCAATTCTAACTTCAACCATCAAAAAAGATTTCCTTCCATTTAATTCAAGTGCCCTGGATGAAATGGAGGACTTCGTAGCAATTCTATGACAGGCGATGCTAGTTTTGGTTCTGAAATACCGTACTACAACTCGCTCAGCAGCGTTGTGTGGTTGGTCAAGTAAGCAAAACGACGAACGCAAGCTCAGCTTTATAGAATGTAGCTTCGATGAAAGTTTTTCCATCAACGAGAAAATGTAGGAAGGAAGCAATGGTGCGGACTATACATTGGACCTAATCAAGTAATTATTCGATCGTTCAAATAAAACGTCCG